AAAAGGGGAGAAATAACATAGGCACCTAAAGGAACCTTAGAACTGATCATACAGGGCTCAGTCTTAAGTGAAGGCCCATTCACTGCACATGTCCTGAGCACTGCCTTCTTCATGAGTACACATTAACGTTAGGAAAGAGGGAGATAACAATAGATTTTAAAATTCATTACTTTGCACTGCAACACTGTATATATATATATATATATATAAATCCCAGTTTATTGTGCATCACTCCGATCTTTGCGGCAGTGTAGCACAAGGCAAATGTACGCAACCCCCTGGCAGGAGATAATCAACCAAGGATCTCCTTACAAGTTTGCTGAGGAAAGCCTGGCATCCCTTCTGCCGGCACCAACATATCAGTGCTCTTGCTCACCTTTCTCCCACTCTGGTAATAACTGAAGAAATGGGCTTGGTTAGATCTTTCCTGCAGATTTCCCTTCTTGACTGAAATGCCTGATACTGTGGTTAACAGGAGAGCTCTTCATCCCATCCCCTCTTCTGATTCTGGCTCCTGACCTCTGGCTTTGGAGTTCAACTCCTGATGCTATGATCAATAAAGAAAGATGAGATTAATGTAACAATCACCAATGAGCAATAAAGGACAAGAAGCTCAACTTGCCAGCACAAAAAGATGATCTGAACAAACAGTAAGGAACTGGTCACTGCAGCTGTACCAGTTTAGAGGCTGTGAGAGTGAAGGAAGTCAAGAAGAGAAAATTGCAGCAATCAAAAGAGAAGACAAGGGCCAATATAGGTGTCCTTCAGTATCACAGAGTGAGAAATCCTGATTTTAGAGGGGGTGTGTTGCATCATAGGAAGAATTACAGGATTATCAAGGGGGAGAGAGGGAACATAATGAGAACTTGAGGGCATGTCATTAACCACACATGCTTTCTGCTAAATTATGCTCAAAACTTTACTTCTACTTCCCTTGAATAACTTTGTGCTTATCTTAGAGAAACAGGAAAATAAAAAAGCTCAAGGAGACAAACTATGATTGAAAGTCAAAGAAAACAAGAACGAACGAGGAACAGACACCTTAGAACTTTCTTGAACAGTGTACATCTACTGCATTCACTGATTGTTCAAAGTAGATGATTCCCATGTTATTTAGGATAGGGCTTAATCCTGTAAATTTTTCCTCTCCCAGTGCCCACCTTCATTTCTTTGCCCACACAGCACTTAGGTCCCTCCTGCCTACCATGATCTCCAAGATACTCAATTCCCATCCTTGTCTGGTAGGTCCCTCAGAAACTATGTGTCCTCCCAAAGTGCCTTTGCCAGCTCCTCCTCACTATCTTCTGCATAGATTAGCCATATTGCCTGCTATTAGCCATATCAAACATTCATCCATTTAAAAAGGCAATCCTACACAGGCTCCATATTCAGGAGCCTCGTGTCTTTGTGCAGTGCCTATTTTTAGGAAACCTGACTTCTGATACAACTGACCTATTTCTCAGCTGTGTTTTTGAATTGCATCTGGGATGTGTCAGCACTGCTAGAGGCACTTTAGCAAAGCCCAAAAGGAGGAGATAAATTGCACTTGGAGACGGGGAAGAACTATCTGCACCACATGTAATACATATGTTAATATGTATTATGTATGGCTATGTTATATATATTATGCACAGCTAACATTTTCCACTTCCCTCTCTTTAAGAATGAAAATGTCTCGAACACAGTTCTGCTCTAGTCTCCTTACAACACCCCCCTCCGCTTCCCCCATATTTGATAGCATCTGGAATAAGCAATGGTCAGCCTTTTTTTCCCTGGCTGGGGGATGCAGCATTCAGTGTGGTATGTGGTATGTCTGTGATGTCCTCCCTTCACGATTTTTTCTAACCCTCCCCAGCTGCAACCAAGCCAGTGGGGGAGGGAAACCCTCACAGTCAAACCCAGAAAGCACTCAGTGAAAACAAATAAGGTTGCTAAGGAACCGTAAAGATAAACCCACAAAATCCAGGAAATAGGAAAGAGTTCATAAGCTCTTTTCAAACACACACCACTCATTGCTCTCAGTGCTCAGTCTGTCACATTATATTAGCACAGAGCTAAGGCTGCGATTAAATGTGTATTATATGTGCCCAGGACTGATTCCCAAAAATGTGGGAAATGCAAGAACCCCGCATATCATGCCACTCAACAATACCTACCTCTCTTCCTAATTTTTTAAATTACACCATGCAGAAAAAGAGCCAAGCAAACTGAGAGTGCAGATAGATTATATATTCTGTTTGTATCATTAGTTACCTCTAATGACAGCAGCAATGCAGATGCCAGTGGCACAGCTGGGCAACATCAGCATACAAACCACGGGTCCACAGAGGGCACAAATTGGGCCTTCCCTGCCATTGCCATCCTGCCAGCTAGAATAAAGACAGCATGGGCTTGACTGCTGATTTGCAACTCCACCTCTGTTATACCACACAGGTACAGCCTCGGGAGCCACACTTTGCCCACAGGGATTTTCTTGAAACCAAACATTATATTAAGATTAACCCTTAAATAAAGCTATCTCCAGTGCATTGGGAGGTAAGAACATGAAAGCCAGAGGAAAGGGGTGAACAAGACAGCTATGCCTCGCCCATGCCATGCAGACCCTGGGGCCACGTTCATGTGTTTTCAGAGCCTGGTGAACTCTGGAAAGCAAGGAGCAATTGAGGCAAGGCGAGTCCCTGTCACCAGCTGCCCTCTGAGCACTGCAAGTTCTGTTCTCCATGCACGCAGCTACACTGCAGCACCTGACAAATTTCCTCACACTTTAAAAGACTCTGGGAAACAAGAACATGCCACTGGAAAGGTTATATTTAGCCCTCCTATCTCCATTTACCTTGAGTTAAATCGGTTACTCCGAATGTAGCAATTGCCAACCATGCAGAGGTGCAGTTGTACATGCCGTATGTCTGAAATCACATTAACCACCAGCCTTGTGGCTTAATCAGTGCTTCGCAGCAAGACTGAAACTTCTCTGAAAGAAATGAGGTGAACTAGTTGTTAATTTGGCTTCATTCTATCTCGTCATACAGAGACCAGTGATTCATTTCTGCCATGAAAAACAAGAGAGCATTGCCACCTCCCACTCGGAGTTTTGCACCAAAAGGGCACCACTTTGAGTCGTACAAAGTATTTATTAGAAATGCAGCAAATTTTAATCCTTGCTAGCAACCTAACTTGAGAAGTGATTAGTATGAAAAAGCATCACCCAAATATCTTTACACTATATCCAGAATTCTCCGTGCCTCACATGTCTAATGCATTTTGTCCACCATGTGGCTGTGTTTCACCCATAGAAAAACTCAAAGGGCATTCACTCAGCCAGCCACAGCTGTAGGACATCTGGCACTCTGGGTCCCACCCCTAATCAGCAGAGGTGAGACACCCTGCAAAGGGTGAATAAATGCACTCCCATTGACCGAGTTCCTGTGCTCAAGGACTCTGCATCTCTCCAAAGTAGCACAGTAACCACACTCAGCTGTCAGAAAGTGTAGCAGCACCTGTCCAAGCTTCCTCTTCATAGACAGAGCAAACCAGCAGCAGCATTAACAAAACCAATGCCAGGATGCAACAGCTTATCACTGAGGGCTACTACGGAATAACTCTCACTTTTTACATTAAGAGTTAAGAGGATGTTGGACAGTTTACATCACTGCCATTAAATTATTAAGCACAAAAATTAGCTTCAATTAGGAAAACAGAACTTATGACTATGTGCATGCTGTCTTTACAAACTTAGTCTTTTACTATTACTTTTATGACTGTAAGTTCATAAAAAACAGCATGCCCACTCATACAGTTCTTCTACAGCTATTACCAACTATGGCTTTCAGTCAGAAGTGTAGCGATTTGTACTTCAGAAAGATAGGGTAGAAAATACAAATCTGAAGTAGCTTATGGAATTATCAAGTTTCAGGGTTATAGATTGGAGAAAAGGATCTAGAGCGCACCACACAATTTATTTTGTGTAATGATACAAAAAAGTAATTTAGGTAATACATTGAATATGTTTGAGTCCTCAAAAAGATTCTAAAGTTTTGAAGCCCCTTCTTTTTCATGCTACCAGTTTTATAAAACCAGCACAGTAAGACGACCACATTGCATTTGCACAGCCACAGTTATGACTCAGTTGTTGTGTAAGGAGAGCAAAGCTGCCCAACAGCTTCCATCCAGGATGAAGACAAGTGAAAATAACAAGCTGTCTATTTCTAATGTGACACTTCAGCTGATTACACCGAGACAACAGGAAAAGATAAATTATTAAAAACATATCTAGGATGAGCAAGCTTGCTGTGTTCTTGATAAAGTATGTACATGTTTATCATAATTATGCTAAAGGACAGAGTAATAGCTTCCAAGGAGAGAAGCAGAAGAAAAAAAAGCAAGGCTTTTCAGTATGTTCCAAAACAGAATACCAGACCAAAGTCTCACTAAGCTCTTAACCTCTCACCCCCTTTACCGAAGTCTCCGAGTCTTCACTAACTCATAAGCACAAACGTAGGAGGAAAGTAGGGTAAGAAGAAAAGACTTGTTCTGTTCATGGTTGCTTCACATGCTTCGATTCTGGACACAAATCGAGCATCAAAGATCGAAATTCAAACTGTAAAGGTTTCATTTATGCCTAAAGCAAACATCAGGCACTTTGCTACCATGGTGATGAACACCATAAAAACACCCTAATCACTCCCAATATTGCAAGTGTAAAGTAGGGCTCAGTGCAACACTGAAAAACAGTCTGGCATCAGGCAAATAGCGTGAGTTTGCACTTTAGAAAACAGTTTATAGAGTACTGCAGTTGTGCAAAACCTGAAATACATTAACACTAAATGAACAGAGAAGTTGGGTTGTGTATATCATGCATATATAATACTTTGGCCCTGTGCAGAATTTTTAAGATGAGTTGATTGATCAAGGCTTCCCAACATAATAGCCATAAAACTGTTTGGGAAATGAGCCACCTGCTTGACTAGCATGTGTCTGCTAATACCAAGAGAACAGCTTTAGAAAACTCAGGAAGTTGTATCAAATTTTTTATTTTAAATAACCAAGTTCCATGCTAAAGCTCAACAGCCCCATGTTCCCTTTAAAATGACAAACCATTGAAATATATTTTTTATAAAACTAAGGCTAACAGCAGCTGAATCTTTAATGTCTGACACATTTATATTACAATATATATATACTAAATTTGAAGGTACAAAGAGTTTTCAAAGCTGTTCCAGACTATCAAGCTGATTTTGGCTTTTTGGGACTAAGTCCACCATCTTCAGTTGATTTCTCTGCTGATCTCTTTCTTAACCCCTTCATTTTCCGTGTCTGCAGTTTACCAAGATCTTGCTTCTGCATGTGGATTCGACCATAAGTTGTACCAAACACATCATGGGAGATATTCTTTTTCTTCTTAGGCTGTAAGGCAAAAACAACATCAGTATTTCTGAGAAGAGAATGCCAGTAGCTCTGGTAAGAATAAAGTCCCTAGAAGCAAGGCCACATACACTGTTTGGAGGTTAGAGATTAAGACTTGTTCTGTATGTTCCATACGCTTCCAGAAAGAAGTCTGTATGCCAGCTGATCACCACAAAAGTGCTGCGGTCCCAGAAACCTCAGCTGGCCTATATAATGTATATTCAACTATACAACTACTAATACTTTTGCTCTTCTTCACAAATAGATCTGGAAGTAATATACTTTCCAAGGTACACACCTTCAGGGCTTTTGGTTGTTTTAAAGACAGTTTATAAAGGTCATCTGAAGCTAAATGTGTCCTCCTCATAACCAGATCTAATGAAGGTCCCATCTCTTCCAATTCAATTCTTGGTATTTTACAGCCAGATTTCTTCAAAAGCACCCTAGAAAGGAAAACCAACCAAAATCAACACTGTCCTCTGTGATAAAGATTTATCTGTCCTCCTAAAGGGCAGGTTCAATCCTGTAGTTCGGAAGACTCTTAAAAAAAATTGCTACTGCTAACTCTATTATTGAGAAAGGTGTCTGTCAGTGGCAATTTATAAAATATTAAATCTGTCCCATCACAATCTGAACACACCCAAAATACAACCTAATATAACTTTTTTTTAAAAAATTAAACCAGTATTATCTGTATTACTGTTAAAACTCAGTCCCAGCACCCAAAAAGCCGTATCACTCCTCAAATTCAAAATAGTGCCCCGAGCATTAATAGACATGAATTCACCCAGATTAATTCACACCACTTTACTAATCCAACCACATGAAGAACAATCCTCCTCGCTAGAAGGGGGAGCTCAACAAGGACGGAAGCAGCAGGTTAAGAGCTTAAGTGCTTTCCTTCTGCTGTACAAGTTACTCTATGCTATGCTGGAACACCTCTGTGCATTACATGTTTTAAATGCAACAAACTATTGCTCAACCCAGTTCAATTACATAACTTCAGGCTAAATTTGGGGAAAAGTTGACAAGTGTACCAAAAAGCAAACAAATACATAAAACACTCACTTATAGCTTCGCATGTAAATTTTCCCATCTACAGCTGTGAAATGCAGAACATATTCTAAGCCAGCCAGACGAATACTGGGCACACTAGGACCTCTGAAGAAATCTGAAAGAATATTTTAAAAGAATAAACACGAGGTTTCTTCACTGAAGAAAAATCAAACCAACAGAGGCCTATAACAAATTGGTTTACTTCCTAACAGACCTGCATCACATCACTGATGTGAACTCCTTGCCTATACAAGTATTTTTACTGCATCTAACTAAGCAAGGCTATACACGGGATGGCTCTCAAAAAACAAATCTGTATTTTTAATGGGAATCTCATGAAATAGCCACTACTTAAAACTGCAGCTCTGTCAAAACATGAGAGAGAAGCTTAACATTGCAGGTGTTAGCTCCTGCACTGGTGAAACCAAATGTGTGCAGAAATCACAGAATCAACTAGGTTGGAAAGGATCCTGAAGATCATCCAGTCCAACTGTTAACCCAGCACTGACAGTTCCCAACTGCACCATATCCCTCAGCGCTATGTCAACCCGACTCTTAAACACCTCCAGGGATGGGGACTGCACCACCTCCCTGGGCAGCCCATAACACAGTGTCTTCCCAGAGATAACTCGGTAGCAACACACGCTATCTAAAAATAAGTGTATGAAGAAGAGCTAATATACTTTCAGAGCAGTAATTTAGCTTTATTAAGCTAATTAGGATAACTGCATTGTCTACTTTTCTAAATATTCAGCTCTAGAGTCATAAAAATCAAAGGTATCTTACTTTGTGTTTATGCCAGTTCATGCTCAGCTAAACAGATCCATACAGAGAAGCCATTATTAGTTCAGGTATCTGTTTAAAGACATCATTCAAAAAAACCTGATACTTCAGATTCTTAATCAGAGCCAGATTTGGAAGAGTAGAGAAGGATTAAAACCAGTAAAAAACAGATCAGAACTATCTCTTATCTACTCTTACCTACATTTTCTCTTCTCTGACTTGGAAAAAAAGTTGAGATACATTGTTTCTTTTACATCTCCCCCAGAACAAAGTGCTTTTGTCTTTAGATAAAGCAGTATGTCATTACAATTAATATTTTCTCTATTTAATTGGCAACACATCTACAAAAATAAGCTACTTTAAATATTTGCTTAGTTTGCAAAGAGAACACTGAAATACAGGTTAAATAGAAAATGATCTGCCTCTAGTGAGGTTCTTGTACCAGGCTATGAGGAAAAGACCATGCAATCAGAGCTTGCAATAAGCACAACAATCTGTCCAACATATGTAGAGGGTGGAGAAAGAATGTGACCTTCACTGGGGAACAAGGTGTGCTAATAAACATGACAGGGCAATGCTGAAACATAAGAGAACTGCTACTAACAGATGCAAAACACATCAGTTTTTTCCGTTCTGTTCCATTTTCAGATCCGTCAGCTAGTTGTCTTTTCCTCCACTACCTTTTTCAAGTGTATCAGCACCGGAGTGACATCCAAAACAAAGTCTTGCTGGCAGGTATCTGCTGGAGTCTAGCCAGGAAATTTCCTTGGTCAATTAAATACTCTGTCCTCCTCTTGTGGGTTGAGCTTGTAGTTAAGAGGAAAAGTTGCAAATAAAATATTTTGTTTGCCTCTGGCATATATTTTCCCTTTGCCAAGTTCTCTGCAGATACACAAGCTTACATTCACAGTGGTTTTATTGACAACATGTCCCTTTCATGTTTTCCTGTGGCATCACACATCTTTTTACTCACAGGATGATCTCTTCCCACAAAATGCAGCTGGTCAGAAACTTCTGTTTCCTGGCAGTGCTGAACAGCTGCAGAAACCTTACACTTCTGTATACCCAGAGAGTGGAAGTTTTTTTAATGTACTCTTAATTTACAACTCTTGCTTTGGTTGGACTAGAGACTTGCTTTCTCCCTTCTTTTCACTCCTAGTTTTCTCTCTCTTGTCCTCAACATATTTCCAGAACTTCTAATTTACTTTTTGCTGCAGAGAACTCCACAGGACCTTTTCGTTTCCAAACTAAATTCCTAAATTATCTTGGAACATTAATCTATACACTTGTTTTTGTATCAATTCTTATCCAAAAGCTGGTGACACTGCAACCTATGTAGCTATGGTTATCATTAGTAGAGTTCAAACTCTATCCCAGCCATTTCCTTTCTTGGCCACAAGGAATCCACAAATCTTTTGAGACACTCCAAAAAGTCTGTGTGAGGAAGGTTGTATGAAGAACAAGCTGTTGATCAATCTAAAATTGTAGAGGTCTCCTGGAAACCAACATTTCAGAAAGTGTATAAGCAAGTCACGTAGCGCCTAGCCATTTTTAGGATTAAATGGGTGTGCAATAACAGAACGAGCAAGCGGGCAGTGTTGTAAGAGATGAAACATTTTATAAATACAAGCATAAAAAGTTATTAGAATTTCATGAACTGCACTCCAAGGACTTACATTGTAAATCAATTCCTATGCTACCACATCAGCAGGCAATGATAAGCATAAGAGAAAGAATGGGATGTCTTCCAGGTCTCTAAAGACAAATGCAGCTGCCATTTATTTCTCCTAAATAACTCCTTCCACTTCACAATTTAAGTGGACTACAGGGTTTGGTTACTATGAAGACAATAATTCACCCTTGCCTTTAATTTTACAAAGAAACTGCTGTAAGATAATATTCCAAACATACATAAACCCTTTTGATACGACAAAAGCCAATGAAAGCTTGGTTGTTCACCAGCATCATGGGCATCACACTGCTGTGGCAACAAGAAGCTGTTACATCTAATACTCCCTCTTGGATCCCAACAATACTGCTACAGTAATAAAATATTTGCTGCTGTTGTTACAAAGACATTTTTCTATCTTACTTAGTAATAGAATGGCAGCTTAAAAGCACTGTCTTCTGCAAGAACAGAAAGAATCAGTTCTTCCCTATTAGTTAAGGGCTGTTTTGAAGCAGGTCAAGTCATTACCCAAATGATTTTAATTGGTTAAAGATACCTTCAAGCCTTTACACTCCTTAACCTTTTCCTTTGTCTATTGTTTTGTATGTAGGTATTTCATACGAGTCAGCAGAACATTAAGACCTGGAGTACTTGGAGTACATTCAAGAAGAAAGATTGGGTGTCAATTTGAGTACATTTGACCGCAGAGTTATTAAAGGCAAATAAATAGGAGAAAGAAGAACATCAAAAGAAATAGGACAAGAAAGTCTAGTTAGTTATTTGGCAACTGTCTAATGATGCATGTCGTCCATTTAAAGTATCAAGCTGTTTGATCATGGGGTGCAGGAGCACATCTGGATGCCAGTCACCAACACTGTGCAGATGCTTGAACAAGATACACTTCAGACAGTAACACACCTGCTTCCTGCACTGTAAATATTCATTTAGAGCAACAAACATACAGTATTAAAACTCATTTATCTTCATATTCACCCACCTTTGAAGGTTTATAAGCACAGTTACTAGCCTTTCTATCCTGATCTACCCCCAAGAACCAGTCAGCTGTATTGAGAAGGATGCAAATTTTTCTCTCCTGCTCCCTTTTCAGTCTCATTTCAGATGAAACATCTTGCTTTAAGGAATTAATAAGGGAGAAAAAAAAATAATCAAATTTTAAGGTCTGTTTCTAGGAGCATTCATTTATGTTTGCCTAGAAAAAGAGGGCCCAACAAATACTTATTTTATATGAAAGGGAGATCTTGCAAAGTTGTAAGATTCTGAATTGGTACAAACCAAGAATGGAACTGAAAGAACACAACTGTTATTGGGTCAGTTTCAGTACTTTACTAAATCTAAAAAAAAAAGTTATCTACTCTTAGGAAATCTATTAAAAAGAAAAAATACACTATCCTACTTATTAGATCTAGTTCTACCAAGCAATATACATTTTTAAGTGCTAAGGGATAAAGTACCATATGACTTCTATGTTCTGAAAAGCTACCCTAAGAGAAGTATAATTATTTTTTGTAGTTCCTCCAGAAAAAAAAACCACAACGTGCTCTATCTTCCAGAGCCTCCAACCTTGAGATAGTAAAAAATTCATGCCAGTTTACTAAGCTCCAAGCCTGCCTTGAAGTTGACACAGCTATTATCTACAGCTGATTTTTACTGCACGTTCTTTCCAAGTACTCTAATTAATGCACTTTTGTTAGAATTTGTTAAATTTCCAACAGAAAAATGCTTTCATGATAAAAACACAAGCTCCATTATAGCGATCTGACTTTTTTCTAAGCAAAAATATCCCACTTCCTGAACTTAAACCACTGATTTCAAATTAGATACTTCAAAAATACTACTTGGTTAGAGAAGTGATGATTCAGTACAATCACAAAGTGATCACTTTTTTAAAAATGACAGAATTTTCCCACAATCAAAGTAATTAATTTTAGTGAATCCAGTTTCAACTTCAGAATCTTTTAGGCTAGTCTTTTTTTCCCTCTCCATCAGTCATGATGATTAGTTAACTTTAATTTCATGTGACATGAAATTTTCAAGTGCCTGTTCTTGTTTTCCTTCTGTGCTAAACATAAGCAAATATTTATTGACAAACCAGCATTTCCCAACAGATCATATTACTACAGATTTATGCAATCCTACTGCTCAAATAATCAAATTACTGACCAATAAGAAGGCTCTTCAGTCTTCTGTACTCTTCATTTACATCAAACATGTCACCAGCAAATATCAACATAGGTTTTGTTCCTTCAGGACATTTACTGTTCTGTGGAATAAGAATTTTAAGACCATGTTAGGGAATATATGATTTATTTAATAGGTGGTTAGCCATTCAACACCAAATGAAAAATTTCTGTGAACAGAACAGACACTTTTTCCCCACTGTATGTGTATAGAAGGAAGTTATTTTTAAGATGGTGAATTGTATTCTTCTTTGTGCTGGACTAAAAAACAGAGATTCTTTACTATAAAATGTATAAGATAATATCCAGTGAAAACAAGTGAATTTGACTGCAACTACTAACAAGAAAACTAAAATTAGAGGCAAACAAGTCTATTGTACTTCTGACACTGAAGAGTACCTAAAAAAGGCTAGAACAGTAGTTCAGTCAATCACCTAATTTTAATTCTGGCCAACAAATACACTTAATTAACTGTAACTTTCCTGCTAGTAACAGTTTTATGAAGATACACGCTACAATCTGATTAAAGGGGGAGACTCACCTTTATGAACCGTAATTTCATTGCTATCCCTCTAGACTGTTCTGTCAATTTATACACTACAATGAGAATAAGGATGATAAAATTTCCTGATTTTTGCAGTGTATAAACTGTTTGATACAAAAGTATACACATACGAAATATGTTTTAGTCTTGCCAAAATGAGCCTAACAGCCACAAAAGGTGATTTTTCCTCTGGCTTTAAACAATCAAGATGTTAGCACCTTGTCCAAACTATAGTTTTGTGAAAACTGGCATTTATGTACTACTGAAAGCTTAATAAAGTTTCAGAATCATCTCTGTCAGCAGAGTGACCCTCTTTGGTGATAATTTGAGAAGAGGCATTTCAGTTTTCAAAGCCTATGCCAGTTTACATAGGAACATACCATCAGCAGAAACTGAGTAAAGAATTTTATAAATGTGATTCTTTAATTACAGAGGAAAATATTAGGAAAAAAACAAGTCTAAAAAAACAATCTGCAAGTAAAGTTGCAAGCTTGCTTAAAACAACCAAAATAGCAGAGCATAAAAATAACACTCTGGGGTACACAAATTATCAATCCTCATATGCTGCATGAAACACTTTTTTTAAACAACTTCTGTCCTTCAAAGCACGACAAAAGCCAATGCACTAAAAATATCCACCAGTAGATGTCAGTGAAATACTGAAATCGGCGATTCCTTACCTTGACATCTTTTAAAGATAGAAACTTTTCAATGCCTAGCTCAATCATGTCTAGGACGTGATAGTCAAACATGCGACCTGTGAAAGTAAAAAGAGAAAATCCAGCTATTTAAATATTCATTGAAAACTAGACCTTTTGTCCAAATAAACCCAAGTGAGACACATTACCTATTATCAAGTTGTTAGGTCGCTTCTTGTTATGAGAGCCAAACATGAACAAAGAACAATCTGATTTCTTGGAAAAGAATTCCTACAATTGATGAAAAGAACAAAACTTGTGAGTTCCAGTTTGCAATGTTTAAAATATTTGGTGAAGGTATATGGCACAATAATGTGAGTTTAGGAGCTGCTTAATGAGAAGAGCAACTGCACTTAGCAGGAGAGTTTTGAACATATCCAGATCCACATAAGCTAAAACAGACAGCTGGATTTAAGGTTCAAATAACAATTCATTTATGTTTTTCTTTCCCGTGGCAGTCTTAAAGACCAAGTCAGGCAATTTTTTCTTCCCATTTTATCTGTAATCCTCTTCTTCATAAATCTTCATTATTTGTTTCTACATAAGATACCTTCAACCGCTTCTCCTTGCCTGAAGAGTAAGTATTTGCAAGTTGGCTGCAGCTGTAATGCCTCACTTTAGTTACTCAGCTAAGCTTTAAGAAACATATTAGCTTTGCCTAACAGCTCCTGAACCACCAGTTAATCTCAACAGCAAGCCTAGGAACATCTGCAACACCTGGGTCCTACTACAGCAGAATTTCATGTCAATTTATTATTTAAGACTAAGATGCTACTTAAAACCAAGGCTGTGGTGATTATCATAGAAAAGATCTTTTCTCCAGGTAGATAGAGAACATATTATAATATGTCCAGAGCCACCATTACAACAATTCTTCCTGAGGATCTCCAACTCCAAAAACCTTTTCATGCACTGTTGCTTCTCGAGCCCTTTGTTCTGTGTATCAACTGTAGTTTCTAGATACACCCACACAATTTATCCAGTACCTCCCAGAAGTACCAGAGTTTCTCTATCTGCACTCAGCAGCTGTGAAGCAGAAAAAAGCCACTACATCTCCTCCCACCCCTGCAACGGGCATTTTAGAGATTACAGCTCTGCCCCTCTGGGAGGTCAGGAGAAACATCCCTGGGGGCAATCCTAGGCTGGATTAATTGTATGTACAAATCACACAGCTCAGCACTGAGCTCTGCCACCAGGTCCCTGAAAAATACTGACAGTAATCAGATCAAGAACAGAACCATCCCCTTGAAACACCTGCTCATACAGCTCTGTTAATCACTGCATGTAAAGTCTCTAACAGCTGTATGACATTTTATTAAAAAGATGCAACAAACTCAAATGCCTCAAATGTGTCCTGCATATACTGCAACATCACATACACTGCAAAACTGCCCTTTAAAAAAAAAAAATATGCCTGTAACCAAGTTAAAAAACAAACTTGATTTGACTTGATTGATCTTTCTAGGCTCTGATTATTTGTTGACACTGTTCTCAACGACCCAACCCTGTTGTTTTGAGGTTACATGAATTAAAGTTCCCTGAAGGATCTCCTTTTAAAATATCAGAATGATTTTAGCTGCCATGTTTTCCCAGAAATTATCAGAAGTTTAAACCAGTGGTCAACTGATGATCAGCTGGTTCCTGTATGACTGCAAAACCAAGTCAGCCAGCTATGGGATTGTAAAAGGTTTAATTTCAGCAAATTATGTGCAAATCTTTCCTCACTGCCTACAGTAAGTCTTCCATTCCACTCACGGTATTTTGGGGATGGCTTCATGCCAAGAACAGAACAAGAGCACATACTACAACACATCAGCATCGGTATTAATGCAGATTAAGTAACTTTCTATGTTGGTCTATCTATGCTGCAAACACAATGATTTTTTGATCTTATTAAATTAAAAATGTTTTAATTCAACTGTTCAATACAACTTCTGCAACTCCTCTAGCACTCACTATTGACTGCTTTCACTTTTCAGCTACGTCTCCCCTCCTCTCCCTTTTTATTTAGAGCTAATTTCCTTAGATATTTTTCCCCTTCATTTTCACAGTCACTTTTAGACAAGAAAGTACATTTCTGCCTGGTGTGTATATATTATTTTTTTTCTTCACAGCTTTAATATAATACCCCCAAACTCCCAGTTTTTCAGTCAGTTATTTCAACAATTGCCTCATGCATTGGAAAGCTGACCCTTATTCCCCTTTGTGAGTTGACAGTGGCACACAGGAAACATTACCAAATCATGAGCACTGGGAACCAAACAACTTATTTAGGGATAATTAATTTTTGTCTTTATTGTGAAATCACAGCTGTACATCACAATCTCCTTTCTCTCATTTTGTTGAAGGAAATACATATACTGCTTTTATAACACACATTTCAGCAGTTAAAGTCACACTATGATTGAAGTGCAAGAATGTGTGAGAATCTTAGGATTAGCCCCTATATTTTTTGCCTTCCTGCTCGGAAATTATTTTGATCATAAAGCACTGAATCAACACCAAATCCAGACAAAGGCATATCACCAAATATATTTCCAAACACACACCCCCTTCCAAAATACCCTCCAAACCTCTGAAGACCCACTTCTGCAACCTCTCTGCAGGCCAAATACACATATTTAACTGAAATTGAGTGCTTGACTGAATTGAGTTCTTGACTGAATGCTGGAGGAGAACTCTCAGTGACCACCTCACAGTTGTGCAGCACGTTCTCACGTAGTACGCTACTGGACTTTTCTTCCTCTATACAAACGCAAAGTCACAGAAAGCTATGAACCCTCCATTTAGCTATTTTAATCTATGAATTCACCAAACTGAAACAAGCTGTTCATAAGCTATGTCACTTTAGAAGACTTTTAGAAAATCAAAATAAAACGCTTTATTACTCCTTTCCTATCAAGCACTGTTACTTATAACAGTGCTACAGACTCCTAAATTTACCTGGCAGTTTACAGAAACATGCATTTACAGTAAAGACCAAGTCCTCTCAACATTATTTAACCAAGTAATAAGCAATAGGACAAGAGGTAATGGCCTCAAATTGTGCCAGGGAAGGTTTATACTAGATATTAGGAAGCATTTCTTTACAGAACAGGTTGTTAGGTGTGGAATGGGCTACCCAGGGAGGTGGTGGAGTCCCCATCCATGGAGGTGTTTAAGAGTAGGGTTGACATAGCATTGAGGGATATGGTGTAGTTGGGAACTGCTGATGTTAGACTAATGGTTGGACTGGATGATCCTCAAGGTCTTTTCTAACCTAGATGAATCTGTGATTGATTCTATCTTGCAGCAGGAGGAAAAATCTGCCTACTGACACCACAAATTTAGACATAGCCCTACCTTCAACTTATCCAAACACCCTATAAACTTTGTTTCTCATCTAGTTCCTTATAGAGTAATAGAAAATTATCTTCCAAAGTTCTTCATGACGTTAAGGCTGTAAAATGTCATAAGATGTGGCTTATACTTACCAATGATGTTTGATCCTCAAAAGGCCTGGTAATATTTTTCCTGAGAGGAGGAGAAAAAAAGGGGGAAAAGAAGTTTTAAAAACTCCACAACCAAAAAACAAACAGACCCAGATAAGCACTTCTAATTGGTTCTCTGATAACATTAAAATTTTGCATTCTACTGGAAACTCCAGCAGTAGAGCTTCAGTTTTAGTTCAAACCATAAGCCATAATAATACTGCCAGGAGAACCTTAGGGCCACCACTGACATCCTCCACATTTCCTGCCTCCTGGGGCCTGACTTCCAGACCATCACCACCAGTGACACCTCATAACTGCCTTTGTCTGTTCATCTAACGTTAAATTCAGCTATTACAATTAATGTCTCTGGCACTACATCCATACAGGTAGTGGGTTCCCATTTTGAGCAAGACTTAGTTATCACTGTAATCTGTAACTGAAATTTTAAGACTTCGGATACAAGAAATCCAGCCTACCCACCTGACACAGAACTTCGCTAGCTGTTTGCCCACATCAGTCAGAGAAGCCAGCTGTCCAGGTTTGCTGAATCCTGCTCTGTAACACTTGGCACAGAAGTGGGATCAGCACCAACACTGACCACATGTAGCTTGTTTTCAGTCTACTGAAATTTACAGTGAATCTCAGCCACCTTTTGCAACCCTTCCCATTGTTCAAGCCCCCATGATAGCCAGCATCTCTGTTCATGTTTGAAATTATCAAAAGCTGTCAAAAGACTCAAAGGTGTCAAAATGAGACCACTTACTTTTTATACAGTACAGCAAAAGGCTTCTTAACAGCATACTGCAAAAGACAAATGTAAACATAACAAATGTGTTATCTCTAATATACCTAAGTGAATGGCACTGCTTTTTCTAAAGCCTTACAGCTTATATGATCACATGAAACAAAGTAACTGTGCAAATCAGTCTAGAAGACAGCACCTCAAAATCCCTGTTCACAGTAACACCCTTCAAGTTGGTAGCAATCTCGGTTCCCAATTAATTGCAGAACTTACTTCTAGTAACTAAGAAATAACAAAATAACTGAGAAACAGCTGAAATCAAAGCCACGTAATGGAATCTCTCTGCTTCTAGGGGCATGAGGAAAAACAGAGAGTGAACAAAAACCTGATTAGCATTAGCATAAGATGGTAAGAAAATGACGGAGAGAAGAGAGTGTAGGAACAGCTATAATGTTTTCAGGTATGAAGTTAGGAGACAGGAAAGTTTAAGTTTTAGGAGAGGCTGAAAGCTCCCTATCAGTACACACAAGCAATTTACAGGATTCTGGGATATGACTTCAGCTGAGTGATCCAGTCCCAATTCTATATCTAATTCTCCTGTTTTCAAATTGACTTGCAACACTTCACCTTATATACTAGACAATCATGGAAAAAATAATAAAGAAGAGAATAAACTCAAAATTTCTGGTAAAGAAGGAACTGGAAGAAAATAATCTCCACTAATGCTAGGTAATGACATCTTTGGAGTACTAGTCAGTCTGAGATTTGGGCAATGGGGAGAGTATGACAACGTTGATCTTGCAGGAGAGAATAAGCAAATTGTAAGAAAAAAGAAAAAGGAAGGTTGCATACTATGTCCAACAACTTACAATGTCTTTAAGCACTTCAGTCACTGTTAAGTTAGCATTTCCTCCTTTAATGAGCATGGCATTTTTTGTATTTTCTTTAAGTTTGGGTTCTCTCTTCTCAAGAAATCTTTTTGCTCTCTTAGTTTTAGGCTTTCTGTAACAATAAATAAACAGTTAAAAACTTAATATTAGTAACAACACCGAACACCACGGAAAACAGTAAAACAAAACAAGAATTGGAACAAGCTGTGTTCAAATAACTCATTTCAGTGATTCAAACTAATCCCAACCTGCAGATTTACAATCCAGTGATTCAAACTAATCCCAACCTGCAGAATTACAATCAGTGCTAAAATCCCAGTCTTGGATTAACGTGTTTTACTGTGACTCCTCCTCTTCTCCATCTCCCCAAGTTAGGAAAGGCAATTTTAGTCTCTGGCTTTTCAGTTTCTTCAAATTTAGAGCTTAAGCTATACCAGAATTCCCACAGACTACAGACAGGCTGAAAGCTTCCCTCACATCAGCCTCCTCCCAAGTCAGAGACGCAGAAAATTAAAAAAAAAAGTTCCTCAAAGACCATCAAGGGCATCCAAAGAAAAGCTCAAGTAGGGCGTATCTGTTGGAACCAGAGAGCAGTACTGTGCACTATTCAAGTGAAATACACCAGCCTTAACAGGGGGACAGAGCTTACATAAATAACTACACGGCTTAAGAACTAAATTTCTCCACTAAATGAATGTAAAGCTTTTCATATCTTCTCCGTGACGCATAATATTTATTTTATATTATAAAGAAAACAAACAAAAAACCCCCACACAGGTACTTCCAATTACAGGTGAAGATAGTTCTTTTAAGCGTACAGAAATACATAAATTCAATCCCAGCTAGTCACTATGG